CCGTTCTGCATGCTGCAGCGAAGTGTACTTGAAATTATTCATCATTAAATGTGGTTTTAACATTACTTTTATAAAGTTTGAAGTGCGTGCTGTCCAATCCAGCTCACTGTTTTTTACAGAAGCCCTGTGAAAGCATCACAGCTTTGCCGATCTCAGAGTGTTAAAAGAAAAAAAATTCCTGTATCCACATCCTGATCCAGAACATCACCAAAATTTAAAGGTGTGTTACTTGGCCCAGTACCACATGTGGTAAAAATATGTCATGACAATCTGTCTACAAGTTTTTGAGTAATGTTGTCCACAGACAGAACGACAGACAGACATACGACAGAAAACATTACCTCACCCTTGGTGGAGGTAATTAATTAGTAAATAAAAAGTCATAATGGTAACCTTCTCTATCAAAATAGAATGAACTGGTCTGGAAGCTGGAGAGGGGGGAGGGGTTTGAAGCGCCTTGTTTGTATTTAAAGAGACAGCCTCAAAACGAGTTGATTTGAGTCGCCTCAGAAAAGCGGTGAAAGAAGGGCTTGTGGATTTAAAATAAGGAGGAATACAGACTGAAGCATTGCAGTTCTACTTTATATGAATGATGTAAATCTGAAAAAGAAGGATTTAAAAGCAGGAGATTTCTACTTTAACATGTGCCGTAAGTTTGATTTGCTTTCCTGACAAAAAAAAGATAAGATTCTCCTGTCAGTGAATAAAAGGTCAAAGTTTTATAAAACATCTAAAGGCTAAATGGCGAATTGCAATTAAATAAACTTGTAATTAGCAAAGCAAGTCTTTCACTTAAAATGAACATAGAAATGTTCACTGCAGAGATCAAACTAAAAGGAACAATCTACTGTGAGAAATATATATAACATAGATTTAACATGTGTGACCTGCAGGAACAGATGAGGTGAAGGTTCTGGAGGTCTCCTGGCCTGATGACACCATCATCAGTCGAGCTCTTGAATCTGGTGAAATGAACTCAGTGGTGGAAATAAGCTATCCCAGAGACGGTGAAGCATCTGTGCTCAGCAGCGACACGCAGGTACACAACACATATTCACAAAACAATTTGTAAACAAGTTTTCATTCCAGTCAGACTCTGTGAATCACATTAACAAAAACATGTCTTCACTCCTCTGTTCTTAGTTCTTATTATTTATTATTATTATTATTATTATTATTATTATNTGTTACCTTTAAGTTAATTTTATAGTTTTGTGATTTTAATAATGCTAATGTATTGATATTTTTCTAGTTTTGATTGAAGTTTGCTTGTTTAGCGTCGTCACAGTTGCTAGGTGACATGACGTAAGGACGGGACGCTAGACCGTCCAAATTCACAGCCTCTTTTTTTCCAGTCTACCAAGGACCCGGCCCACCTTGATCGGGTAGTCTGGGTCCTCCGGAGGACCCGGCCTGTCGTTTTGGACACAGCCGTAGTAGTAATATTATAGAAGTAGTAAAAGAAAGTAGTAAACTCACCGACTACAATTTCCCAAAAACGTTGCATACGTGGCTGCTCCCAAGCAGGGACTTGTCTCTGGAAAGCCTCGATAAAAGACGCCGACATCTCCTGCAACATGCTATGTGTTTACATCCATCGCTGCCATGTTTGTAACGACTTATCGTGAGAACAAACATATTCACGCGCGACTTTAATAACATTTCTTACTTAATGGAAACACCGCAGTTGCAAAACTGTGTTTTTCGACATTAACAGAATTTCGACAAAGTTTTGTGCACATTTGCAATGGAAACGCAGCTATTGTAACATTACCTAATTTCCCTCTGGGATCAATAAAGTACTTTTGAATTGAATTGATAGAGGACGTTACGACTATACAGCGGCACAGAAACGTTTTATTTACAAATTAATTAAAAGATGTCAACAAGGGAAGACTTGTCCATCCAGCCTTACATGTTGGAGCCAGAGTCTGACCCAGAGCCAGAGGAGAATGAAGACCACCAAAATGTAGTTGGTAAGGCCAGACCTTATTTGGCAGTTCTGTCACAAATAATTTGACGTAATAGTTCGGAAAACAACATATAAATATTATGTAAATATAACTAGAAGCACTCAGAGAAACAAACTTCCACCAAGGCTATTTTCCCTAACCTGAAATTGTGAAGAATTCTTTAAAAATTACTGGATCTGGATTATCACCAAAACTTCATGGTGTGTTCCTTCGGCCAATACACACCTGTGGTGAACATTTCGTAAAAATCTGTTCGTAAGTTTTTTAGTAATTTTGTCCACAAACAGACAGACAGACATGACCGAAATTATAACCTCCTTGACGGAGGAAATAAAGAAAACTGAATGAGTTTTTATGACCCAAACAGAATATAACGATATCTAAGCAACAAAGGGAAAGACTAAAGTCAAAATTTCTGCACTCCTACAGACTCCAAGTACACAACAAAATGTATTTAACGGATAAAAAAGTGGATTTTGCACGATATGTCCCCTTTAAATGAGAAGATTAAACTGTTTCGATGTTTCGGTCCGTAACAGAAGCACGTTAGACAGTAAACCCATTCCTTACCCTGCTCTCCAGCTCAGAGGGGAATTTGGTCTGAAACTTGCACGTGGTTCCTTCACTGTAGTCCCTCTGGATGAACACTTTGTTGGCAAGAGATGCACTATGCCTCAGCTCCTGGAGGTTGTGAAACTAAGGAGTACAAAAATAACACTGTAAGGGTTTGTTGCAGTCTGTGTTTAATGAGCCTCCAGAGAGACGTCGGTTGACTTGTGTACAAACAGGAGCTGGTGTGGAGGTGCTGGGGGATGGAGCTGGACCAGACAGAATGGGATCAGTTGCTTTATGGCTCAGTGTCTGCTGGTGTGTGCTGGAGCAGAGCCCAGAACTGGACATGTCATCTGATCCACACACTGGACATGTCCTTTCTGTTCCCCGCTGGTGTTTAAGTGAGGAGTAGCTTTGCAGGAGGTGACATTTCACCACACCTCCCAACAGATCGATGAGGRGAAACATGCGGAGGCAGGCTGCTGTACTATAAGGCAGGAAGCATTGAGGAYGAGGCTGCTGTCCTTGGTGCTGAACGCTTCTCTCGGCGTGTTTCTACGGTCAAACTGTGGCCTGTCACCGGATTAACAATCTGCTTTCACCACTCAGCTTATTGTGAGGCCGCTGCACTGCTGCGTATCTCTGCCTTCTTGTCACACACGTAGTCATTTTCTTCTCAAAACACGTCATCTCAGAATACGGTTGTGACGAAACAAGTAGTAAAATGTGGAACACAGTCGGTGCTCTCTCTCATTTCATTTATATTTTAAGTCATTATAAACTTGTCCACGCGTTTGACTGAAATCTGAAGCTGAGATAAAAACACAGACAGGACGATTGGTCTTACCTCTGTCGCCATGTTGCCATCCGTGGACGTGGGGGGAAGAATCCCTTCGTCAGCTGAAAACTGCTAAATCGGACGAAAACGGGAGGAGGCGGGGTTAAATGACGCGGGGGGCGGAGCTTAAAGCAACAACCCAGAGCCGTATAAAGAAATCACAGTGTCCCCACAAAGATGCCAAAATTAACTGGTTTTGCTTAAACCACTGGCCATGTCTGTAAGATATTCATATTCTGTATGGAAAACCATTCCTGAAAATGTCGAAGTGTTTTCTCTCTTTATTATTATTGTTGTTGTTGTTGTTGTCATTGTTGTATACTGTATTTCTCACTCAAACCACTGGCCATGTCTGTATGATATTCGCATTTTGTCTGGAAAGCCATTCCTGAAAACTTAAAAGTGTTTTTTCTTTTTTTTAATTATTATTTTTATAAAAAATTTTTTGTATATTTCTGACTTAAACCACTGGACATATTTGTGTGG